AAGATGGCGGCCAAACCACGTGACTGATCTGATTTTTTAACAACTTTTTGAAAGAATTCAACATAGAGATGCAAAATAGAAAATGACAAGAAAATCACGCAATTGTAGAATAAGTAATGCGTGTCATGTATTGATGATAAAACACCGTATTTTGCCAAGTGGTTCTGAAGAAGAAGAAGAAGAAGATTTAAAAGTGTTTTTTACCGTTTTTTTTTGAGAAAAATCATGGCGGAAAAAGTCACGTGACTGCTAAAGTTTTTATTACTGATATCTATTACACATGAGCTGTTCTATAAACCATAAAAAATCTGAACGCCTAGACCCTCAGAAAGTGGTCAAACAACCACTTCCGGTTTTATTTCAATCTAATATGGTTGCCGAACGAATCAACCAATCACATTGTGAAAGTCAGGTGCACCAGTTCACATTAGGGGCTATTAGTATAGAGCATTTCCAGACCATTCGGTTCAGCGGCTTTCTCAAACGACTTGACGAAAAAAGTTACGGAAGAAAGAAAAAAAGAAGAAAGAAGAAAAAAACGAACGATAATAATAGGTGCCTAGCCCTACGGGCTTGGGCCCCTAAATATCGAAATGGAAATGGTAAAGAAAATGCCCGGATGTATCAGACTTCTTGATTTTCTGTATTAAAAATGTTATTATGTCAAACTGTTTGTTTTTTGAATTGTTTTGCAATAGACATAATTTTCGACCTTGAACATTTCCATGTGATGTTTCTATATGTCGTTGAAAATTATGCTGTTAAGAAATTATTTCATATGTTCATGAAACGGTTCTTGTCGCTTTGAAGATTGGCTACGGACGACTGACTTCGAAACGTTCCACCCAGATCGGACGTCGCTGTCGGATGTGGATGGAACGTCTAACGTCAGTCTTCCGTACGCCATCTTTAAAGCAATAACCCCCTTTAAGAACATATGGAATCATTTCAGCGATTTATTTACAGAATAATTTGTGTATTTTGCACAAATTTCAAGCAACAACTAGTTTGGCGCTACTAGTTTCTTGAGTGATATATTACGTTCAAAATCATGTGATTTCTCGAAATGCACACTAATTAAGTAATTTGTTGCTGTAACAGTTAATGAAAACTAAATGTGTAAGTGTGGCCAATAGTACGAGAGTGAAATATCAACGTGCTTCTGCATTCTCCATGAATTTCGTAACTTTCTATGATCACGTTAAAGAAAAAACCTGTTTTAGATTACATCAGTTTTTCGATTATTTTTTCAGCTCGTAACAATAGAATCATTGGCACGGTTCCAGAAGCCGTACCTACACACGAATTGGTGACGTCACAAAATACATGACCTTCAATCGGGGTCGTTTCCTCGGTATACACGAATTGGTATATACAAATTATAATAAAGATACTTAAAACATTACACATAAGGTAAAACAAATCACGTGACAATATAATGATAATAACGTTAATAAATCCTAGCTTAACAGTTGAACAGAACGATCATATATGATATGAACAAACAAAAGAATACACTCAGTCACACTTATTTAACTTTTTATTTACTCAACTTTCGCCTACTTACTTTTTTAGTTATTCATTATTAACTTTATTACATTTTAAACACCAAATTAGAAATGTAAAATTTTCTACACGGTTGTAATAAAGCTGTTATCTTATCTTATCTTATCTTATAGTCAGTCGGGTCCGGGGTCGGGTCACAATAAAACGGGGAAGTGGTTGCATATTACGGCGTAGCCAACATGGGAAATGAAAAACCGCACAATATAAATGACATGGGTTCGAATCACACTAGATACACACTCAACAGAACCGAAGCAATCGGAAACCAGCAATCAGCAAAACAAAATCAGCTTGAAAAGATAGTGGGTTCGAGTCCCGCTCAGAGCCACCGTAAAAACGTAAATCAAGTAAACTAACCGTAACAAGTAAACAAAAAAACTTCGCGAAAAATAATAAACTTCACGAAACTCCACCATGCAAAACTGAATGAATAAATAATAAAAAACTTACATCTTAAACTGGACGACGCGCAATTTGTTCAACAGTTTCCAGATTGTGACAAGAGATAAACAAGACCCAAGTCAGGTAAGTTTTGTTAAAGCGTCGATGGCGCTCCCTATATTACGAAAACACAATTCAGGCAATAGACAAATCATTTGTTTGCATGACTACCCACATGGTTCAGTGGATATGTACAATGCCAGCAATGTGAGAGATTGCTGGTTCGAATCCAGTAATGCTAGTGAGAACAAAAACAGACACGAGGAGCATTGTTGCTATCAAATGGGTCCCTTCTTTTGTATTGGCCCCCTAAGGATTGCTGATCCCCCTTTCTAACTCTTCCCCCCAAAATAATATATCGCCCCTTTTCGAATGTATTGACCCACAAATTAATGAATATTCATGAACACAGAAACTGCTACATCATGAATAAATGTAGAACTATCATGTATGCTATCAGAAAGCATTTTTGGCACAATTTACTGAAAAGACGAGTTTTTCATTGCTCATGAATATTATTTTTTGCAAATTAGATGATTATTTCAACCAATCGTGCAACTCCCCGTCGGAATACAAAACGCGCGCTTTCTCTGTGTTTCGCTCATTGCATCACGAGAAAAAATAGATATAGTATACTGATCGACATACTTTTATCAGTTATAAACTTGTTAGTAGTTCCAAAATATGTTGAAATGTTCAAACATCATTTATTGAGTGCAAATGCTAATCTCATTATTAGACTTAGTCGCAAAAAACGTGAAAAAAATAGGCTCACCATAAGACATACTAAAGTTGCATAATGAGTTAACGGACTGCAAGAAGACAAAAAAATAAATGGCCATGATCTGAACTTAGTCCCACAACTGAACTGACACAGCAAAAAATAAAAACTGAATTAAAAAAAAATATTCTATATTGATTACAAAATCACAATAATTTATCTCCCTCTGATCGAGATCTTAATGTCACAATTGAAGAAAACCAATCATGCAAACAACGCCTGTAGTTTTGTGTTTTTGTTGACAATAAACTAAGTTGGGGAAACATTAAGAACGCTTGTGGTCAAGTAAATATATATTACTCTTACAGGCAGACACACATGTAAAGTGCCTTGTCTATTTTCGCAAAATCAGCTAACGATTCAGCACCTCTATATACGAGAGAAATGTTCACATGAACAACATG